ACCCCCCGGGACCCCCCCCGGGACCCCCGCCACCGGAGGAGCGGAGGGAGAGGAGGGGAGGGGGCGCACCTGGGGAGGGGGCGCGCCTGGAGGGGCCGGAACCGAACCGGGACCGGGGAGAGCGGAGCCGGAGCGGGACCGGGACATCGGGACAGGACCTGGAACGGGGTACGGGAGTGGGGGGCGCCTGGAGGGGCGAGAACCGGACCGGGACCGGGGCACCGGGTCCGAACCTGCTCGGGGGTACCGGGACCGGACCCGGAGCGGGGAGAGCGGGGCCGGACCGGGGCACCGGGTCCGAACCTGGAACGGGACCTGGAACGGGAGAGAGGAGCCGAACCGGGACCGGGGCACCGGGAGTCGGGGGCACCTGGAGCGGGGCCGAACCGGGACCGGGGCACCGGGTCCGAACCTTGGGGGACACGCGCCGGGAGGGTCACCAAGATCCACGAGGATTGTCCCCACGCGCCGTGACACGCTCCGGGATTGTCCCCACGCTCCGGGAGTGTCCCCAAGCTCCGGGAGTGTCCCCACGCACCGAGATTGTCCCCACGCACCGGGAGTGTCACCAAGCTCCGGGAGTGTCACCAAGCTCCACGAGGGTCCCCGCGCTCCGGGACTGTCCCCACGCACCGCGACACGCTCGGGATTGTCCCCACGCACCGTGACACGCTCCGGGACTGTCCCCGCGCTCCGGGACTGTCCCCACGCTCCGGGATTGTCACCAATCTCCACGAGGGTCCCCACGCACCGCGACACGCTCCGGGATTGTCCCCACGCTCCGGGGCTGTCCCCACGCACCGGGAGGGTCCCCAAGCTCTGGGATTGTCCCCACGCTCCACGAGGGTCCCCGCGCTCCGGGACTGTCCCCACGCACCGCGACGCGCTCCACGCGCCCCCTCCTCTCTCTCTCTCTCTCGCGCCCCCCCCTCAATTTCGGCCGCCTGCCCCGGTCACCGCCGCGTCCCCCGCGTGTTTCTGCGTGCCGGGGGGGCCCGGGGGGGACACCCGCGTGGGAGCCGCGTGCCGCGTGTCCCGGTGTCCCCGCGTGACGCCCGGCGCGCCGCCCGCCCCCTTTATAGCCCGCGGGAGCCGCGGCCGCCGCCGATGACACATCCTGAGTCACGGCTTCCAGCCGGCCCGGGCCGCGCGGCCGCCCCCACGGCGGCCCCCGGACACGCGCGACCCCCCCGGGACCCCCCCGGGACCCCCCGGGACGACGGGGACCGAGAGAGACCCCCCCCGGGACCCCCCGGACATCTCCGGACACCCCGGGCCGAGAGGAACGGCCCCTGTCACTGTGTCACTGCCACAGTGTCACTGTCACTGTGTCACTGTCACTGTCACTGTCACTGTCACTGTCACTGTCACTGTCACTGTCACTGTCACTGTCACTGTGTCACTGTGTCACTGTGTCACTGTCACTGTTTTAGGGGTAATTTTGGGGCCAATTTGGGATTTTTGTTGCGATTTTGGGGCTCCAGAGTTTGATTTTGTGGCCCTGAGGAATTTTTTTTAAGTATTGAGCTGAATTTTGGGGCTGCAGTGCTCCATTTTGGGGTGGTTTTTGGGGTTTCTGGGGGGATTCGGTTCCATTTCGGTCTCCGGGGCTCGATTTTGGGGCGGATTTTGGGGTTTTTGGGGGTGGGGGGGGGCTTTAGGATCACGCGGAGGGGGCGTGGCCACCCCGAGGGGGCGTGGCCCCAGCGAGGGGCGTGGCTGTGTCACTGTCACTGTGTCACTGTCACTGTCACTGTCACTGTGTCACTGTGTCACTGTGTCACTGTCACTGTTTTAGGGGTAATTTTGGGGCCAATTTGGGATTTTTGTTGCGATTTTGGGGCTCCAGAGTTTGATTTTGTGGCCCTGAGGAATTTTTTTTAAGTATTGAGCTGAATTTTGGGGCTGCAGTGCTCCATTTTGGGGTGGTTTTTGGGGTTTCTGGGGGGATTCGGTTCCATTTCGGTCTCCTGGGCTCGATTTTGGGGCGGATTTTGGGGTTTTTGGGGCTGGGGGGGGGCTTTAGGACCGCGCGGAGGGGGCGTGGCCACCCAGAGGGGGCGTGGCCACAGCGAGGGGCGTGGTCCCAAGAGCGGGGCGTGGTCTGGGTCGTGGGCGTGGCTTTCAGGCGCGGTTTATTCAAATTTGCCCCTGGAGGCGTGGCTAAAGTGCGCTCGCTCTGATTGGCCGGTTCTCTTCCCGCCCAGAACTTGCCGGCCCCGCCCCTCCTCCCCCTGGCTTCGCTCTGATTGGCTTGCGCGCGGCGAGGCGGGAAGAGCTCGGCCAATGAGCGTGGCGGACGGGGCGGAGGGGGCGGGGCCTGGCTCTGAGGGGGAGCGGGTCCGTGAGGGGCCCGTGAGGGGCCGCGGGCACCGTGAGGGGACAGGGGGACACGGAGGGGACATTGAGGGGTCTGGGGGGACATTGAAGGGTCTGAGGTCACTCTGGGGTCACAATGAGGGCTCTGGGGTCACCCTGAGGGGTCCCTGAGGGGTCTGGGGTCATTTTGAGGGGTCTGGGCTCCCTCTGGGGTCACCCTGAGGGGTCCGTGAGGGGCCCGTGAGGGGCCGCGGTCACCGTGAGGGGACAGGGGCACATTGAGGGGTCTGGGGTCATTCCGAGGGGACATTGATGGGTCTGGGGGGACCTTGAGGGCTCTGGGGTCACTCTGGGGTCACCCTGAGGGGTCCGTGAGGGGCATTGAGGGGTCTGGGGTCCCTCTGAAGGGTTTGTGAGGGGTCTGGGGTCACCCTTAGGGGTCTGGGGTCACCATGGGGGGTCTATGAGGGGCCTGGGGTCATTCTGGGGTCACCCTGAGGGGTCTGGGGTCCCTCTGAGGGGTCTGTGAGGGGTCTGGGGTCATTCTGAGGGGACAGTGAGGGGTCTGGGGTCCCTGGGGGAAAGGGTGGGAAAGGGAGAAAAACGGGGGGTTTTGGGAGGGGAAGAGGGTGGGAAAAATGAGGAAAAAGGGGGGAAAAGATGGAAAAAGGGTGGGAAAAGGGGCCTGGGGGAGGGAAAAATGAGGGGAAAGGGTGGGGAAAAAGGAGAAAAGGGTGGGGAAAAAGGGGTTTTGGAGGAGATCCACGCGCCCCCTCCTGCCTGGGGGGGGGAAAAATGAGGGGAAAGGCAGGGGAAAAAGGAGAAAAGGGTGGGAAAAGGGGCCTGGGGGAGGGAAAAATGAGGGGAAAGGCAGGGGAAAAAGGAGAAAAGGGTGGGAAAAAAGGGGAAAAAGGGGTTTTGGAGGAGATAAAGGTGGGAAATGGGGCCTGGGGGGGAAAAAAAGGGTGGGAAAGGGGGAAAAGGGTGGGAAACCCCCTTTTTTCCACCCCAAATCCCCTTTTCCCCCCCTAAAATCTCCTTTTTCTCTCCCAAAATCCCCTTTTGCACCCGAAATCTCTCTTTTTCCCCCCGAACCCCCCTTTTGTCCCCGTTTCCCAGAGGATGCTGCCCGAGGAGCGCAAGGAGGGCTCGCCCCGCTTCGGGAAGCTGCACTTCCCCGTGGGGCTCTGGATCAACTCCCCCAAGAAGCGCCTGGCCAAGATGAGCCGCCGCTGGCCCAGCGCCGGCTCCGTCCGGTGCGGCCCCGAGACCCCCCAGAGCCCCCCAGAGACCCCCAGAGCCCCTCCCCTCCCCTGATCCCCCAAGGCGCCCCCTGCCAAGGCGAAGCCCCCCCGCCACAAGCGCCTGTCCCACCTCTTCCACCGCACCAGTACCACCAGTACCACCACCAGTAACACCAGTACCACCAGCAGCGCCACGCGCTGGGCCAGCGAGAAGAAGCTGGCCGAGCTGCGCGACCCCGGCCCGGCGGCGGCGGGCGCGGGGGGCTCGGGCAGCCCCCCGAGCATCCTCAAGATCTTCGGCGGGGCCATCTCGCGCGGCGCCAACTACAAGAGCGTGCTGGCCACGCCGCGCTGCAGCGCGCGGCAGCTCGTGCGCCAGGCGCTCGAGCGCTATGGGCTCAATCCGCAGGATTTCGGGCAATTCGCGCTCTGCGACGTCGTGGGCAGGCCCGCGGGGGGCGCGGGGGGCGCCTGGCAGGGCGAGCACCTCAGGGAGGTGGGCGAGTGGGAGCGGCCGCTGCTCCTGCAGGTGAGACCGGGGAAATGGCCGTTTAATTAGAATTAATAATTATTAATAGTATTGGTTAATTTGTGCTCTGTGAGTGCCGGGGGGCGCCTGGCAGGGCGAGCACCTGCGCGAGGTGGGCGAGTGGGAGCGGCCGCTGCTCCTGCAGGTGAGACCGGGGAAATGGCCGTTTAATTAGAATTATTAATTATATTAGTATTGATTAATAATTATTAGTAGTATTGGTTAATTTGTGCTCTGTGAGTGCCGGGGGCCTCTGGCAGGGCGAGCACCTGCGCGAGGTGGGCGAGTGGGAGCGGCCGCTGCTGCTGCAGGTGAGACAGGGGATGGAAATGGTCAATTAATTGGAATTAATAATTATTATTAGTGAGGTGAGTGTGGGGAGATGGGCGATGTGTGGGGACTGGGAATTTGTGTTAGTATTGATTATTATTAGTTATTGTTATTGTTTCGCCCTTCAGTAACTTTGTGCTTTTAACTTTATTTTTTTTCCTGCGCATTTGGAACTTTAAGTTTTTAACCCTGGCCCGAAATCGCGGTTTTTCACCCCCCCCCAATTTCCCCCCATTTTTCCCCCCCAGCTCCACCTCCTCGGACACGCCCAGCCGCGCCAGCGACCCCGCGGACCCCCGCCCCTCCTGCTCCTCCTCGGCGCCCCCTGCCAAGGCGAAGCCCCCCCGCCACAAGCGCCTGTCCCACCTCTTCCACCGCACCAGTACCACCAGTAACACCAGTAACACCACCAGTAACACCAGTGCCACGCGCTGGGCCAGCGAGAAGAAGCTGGCCGAGCTGCGCGACCCCGGCCCGGCGGCGGCGGGCGCGGGGGGCTCGGGCAGCCCCCCGAGCATCCTCAAGATCTTCGGCGGGGCCATCTCGCGCGGCGCCAACTACAAGAGCGTGCTGGCCACGCCGCGCTGCAGCGCGCGGCAGCTCGTGCGCCAGGCGCTCGAGCGCTATGGGCTCAATCCGCAGGATTTCGGGCAATTCGCGCTCTGCGACGTCGTGGGCAGGCCCGCGGGGGGCGCGGGGGGCGCCTGGCAGGGCGAGCACTTCAGGGAGGTGGGCGAGTGGGAGCGGCCGCTGCTCCTGCAGGTGAGACCGGGGAAATGGCCGTTTAATTAGAATTAATAATTATTAATAGTATTGGTTAATTTGTGCTCTGTGAGTGCCGGGGGGCGCCTGGCAGGGCGAGCACCTGCGCGAGGTGGGCGAGTGGGAGCGGCCGCTGCTGCTGCAGGTGAGTCCGGGGAGATGGGTGTTTAATCAGAATTATTAATTATTATTAATATTGATTATATTAGTATTGGTTAATTTGTGCTCTGTGAGTGCCGGGGGGCGCCTGGCAGGGCGAGCACCTGCGCGAGGTGGGCGAGTGGGAGCGGCCGCTGCTCCTGCAGGTGAGACCGGGGAAATGGCCGTTTAATTAGAATTAATAATTATTAATAGTATTGGTTAATTTGTGCTCTGTGAGTGCCGGGGGGCGCCTGGCAGGGCGAGCACCTGCGCGAGGTGGGCGAGTGGGAGCGGCCGCTGCTGCTGCAGGTGAGACCGGGCTGGAAATGACCGTTTAATTAGAATTAATAATTATTAATAGTATTGGTTAATAGTATTGGTTAATTTGTGCTCTGTGAGTGATGGGGGGCGCGGGGGGCGCCTGGCAGGGCGAGCACTTCAGGGAGGTGGGCGAGTGGGAGCGGCCGCTGCTGCTGCAGGTGAGACCGGGCTGGAAATGACCGTTTAATTAGAATTAATAATTATTAATAGTATTGGTTAATAGTATTGGTTAATTTGTGCTCTGTGAGTGATGGGGGGCGCGGGGGGCGCCTGGCAGGGCGAGCACTTCAGGGAGGTGGGCGAGTGGGAGCGGCCGCTGCTGCTGCAGGTGAGACCGGGCTGGAAATGACCGTTTAATTAGAATTAATAATTATTAATAGTATTGGTTAATAGTATTGGTTAATTTGTGCTCTGTGAGTGATGGGGGGCGCGGGGGGCGCCTGGCAGGGCGAGCACTTCAGGGAGGTGGGCGAGTGGGAGCGGCCGCTGCTGCTGCAGGTGAGACCGGGCTGGAAATGACCGTTTAATTAGAATTAATAATTATTAATAGTATTGGTTAATAGTATTGGTTAATTTGTGCTCTGTGAGTGATGGGGGGCGCGGGGGGCGCCTGGCAGGGCGAGCACTTCAGGGAGGTGGGCGAGTGGGAGCGGCCGCTGCTGCTGCAGGTGAGACCGGGCTGGAAATGACCGTTTAATTAGAATTAATAATTATTAATAGTATTGGTTAATAGTATTGGTTAATTTGTGCTCTGTGAGTGATGGGGGGCGCGGGGGGCGCCTGGCAGGGCGAGCACTTCAGGGAGGTGGGCGAGTGGGAGCGGCCGCTGCTGCTGCAGGTGAGACCGGGCTGGAAATGACCGTTTAATTAGAATTAATAATTATTAATAGTATTGGTTAATAGTATTGGTTAATTTGTGCTCTGTGAGTGATGGGGGGCGCCTGGCAGGGCGAGCACTTCAGGGAGGTGGGCGAGTGGGAGCGGCCGCTGCTGCTGCAGGTGAGACCGGGCTGGAAATGACCGTTTAATTAGAATTAATAATTATTAATAGTATTGGTTAATAGTATTGGTTAATTTGTGCTCTGTGAGTGATGGGGGGCGCCTGGCAGGGCGAGCACTTCAGGGAGGTGGGCGAGTGGGAGCGGCCGCTGCTGCTGCAGGTGAGACCGGGCTGGAAATGACCGTTTAATTAGAATTAATAATTATTAATAGTATTGGTTAATAGTATTGGTTAATTTGTGCTCTGTGAGTGATGGGGGGCGCCTGGCAGGGCGAGCACCTCCGCGAGGTGGGCGAGTGGGAGCGGCCGCTGCTGCTGCAGGTGAGTCCGGGGAAATGGCCGTTTAACTGGAATTATTAATTATTAATAGTATTGATTATATTAGTATTATTAGTATGGGTTAATTTGTGCTCTGTGAGTGCCGGGGGGCGCCTGGCAGGGCGAGCACCTGCGCGAGGTGGGCGAGTGGGAGCGGCCGCTGCTGCTGCAGGTGAGACCGGGGATGGAAATGGTCAATTAATTGGAATTAATAATTATTATTAGTGAGGTGAGTGTGGGGAGATGGGCGATGTGTGGGGACTGGGAATTTGTGTTAGTATTGATTATTATTAGTTATTGTTATTGTTTCGCCCTTCAGTAACTTTGTGCTTTTAACTTTATTTTTTTTCCTGCGCATTTGGAACTTTAAGTTTTTAACCCTGGCCCGAAATCGCGGTTTTTCACCCCAAATTGGGTTTTCCCCCAGGAGCTGTGGCGGCCCAAGGCCGGCTGGTCGCGGCGCTTCGAGATCCGGCGGAGGCAGGAGCTGGAGAGGGCGGGGGGCGACGGGGACGGGGACAGCGGGGGTGAGGAATGGGGGAAAAACGGGGGAAATCGGGAAAAATGGGGAAAATGGGGAAAAACGGGGAAAATGGGGGAAATGGGGAAAAACGGGGGGAAAATGGGGAAAAACGGGGGAAAATGGGAAATAAACTGAGAAACAGGGAGAAAAATGGGAAAAATGTGAAAAAACTAAGAAAAGCTGGGAAAACTGGGGTTTGTGAATCCTTCAGGCCCCACACCCCCCCCGCGACCCCCGGCGGCGCCCCCGGGCCCGGCGCGCCCAGCCTGGAGCTGCTGGCCGAGAGCCTGATCCAGCCCCCGCAGGACCGGCCCTACTTCCTGCTGCTGCGGGGCTACGGCAAACAGGTGAGAAAAAAACCAAAAATTAACCGAAATCCCCGGAATTTACCCCGAAAACGTGACCTCCCCAATGAGCCTCGAAACCCAGAAAAACCACCCCCAAAAAAATCCCAGTTATTCTTCATAACTGCCCCTACTTCCTGCTGCTGCGGGGGTACAGGAAACAGGTGAGGGGAAACAGAAAAATTTACCGAAAATCTCGAAATTTAACCCAAAAAATGGTCCGCCCAATGAGCCCCCAAAGCCAGGGAAAGCACCCCAAAAAATTCCCATTTTATCTCCCTGACCAGCCCTACTTCCTGCTGCTGCGGGGCTACGGCAAACACGTGAGGGAAAAACGGGAATTTAACCGAAATCCCCGGAATTTAGCCCAAAAATGTGACCTCCCCAATGAGCTCCCAAAGCCAGGGAAACCTCCCCAAAAAAATCCCAGTTATTCTTCAAAACTGCCCCTACTTCCTGCTGCTGCGGGGCTACGGCAAACAGGTGAGAAAAAACCAAAAAATTAACCAAAAATCCCAGAATTAACCCCAAAAAAGTGATCCGCCCAATGAGCCCCCAAAGCCAGGGAAAGCGCCCCAAAAACCCTCCCAAAAAAATCCATTTTTTCTCCATGACTGCTCCTGTTTGCTGCTGCTGTGGGGCTGCAGGAAACCCCAAATCCCCATTTCCCCCCCAAAAACCCCCATTTCCCCCCCAAACCCCCTTTTCCCACCCCAAATCCCCTTTTTTCCCCAACCCCCCCCCGCAGGACTTCGTCCTTCACATCATGACCCGCCCCCAGCACATCTTCGGCCGCCCCCCGGAGCCCAAACCCCCCTCGGGGGCCGGGGGCTGCGCGGAGCCCCCCGCCGCGGACAGCCCCGAGCCCCCTCCCCAAAAGGCGCCGGAGCCGGGGCCCCTCTGGGTGGTCGACACCTTCCTGAGCGCCCCCGACATCCTGCCCCGCCACTGCCTGGTGCAGTGGGGAGGGGGCGACGCCGCCCCTGGGGAGGGGGCCGACCCCCCGCCGCCCCCCCCGGCCTGGGTGCGACCCTTCCGGGGCGCCCCCACCTCGCTGAACGGGACCCCCCTGCACCGCCGAGCCCCCCTGAGCCCCGGCGACCTGCTGGGGCTGGGCGAGCACGTGCTGCTGCTCTACAAGGACCCCCGGCTCGGGGAGGGGGCGCGCCCCGCCTGGCTGCCGCCCCCGCGGGGGGCTCTGGGGGTCCTGGGGTGCGCGGGGTGCGGGAGGAGCCCCCGGCAGCGGCGGGAGGAGCTGCGGGGGGCTCTGGAGACCCCCAGGGCCGAGCTGCGCTACCGGCCCCAGGAGGAGGGCGCGCTGCTCCGGGAGATCCTGGGCCTGGAGCTGGGCAGGGGGCTCCGCGGGGGTCCTGGGGAGGGGGCTCCCGGCGGGGAGGGGGCTGCCGGCGGGGAGGATCTGGGGGCGCTGGCCCCCGCCTTCCTGCTGGGGCTGTGCCTGGAGCACGCGGCCCGAGAGTTCCCCCAGGGACACCTGCCCGAGCTGCTGGGGACGGTGGCGGCCATGCTGCGGGACACGGTCTGGGTGAGCCCGGGGACACTGGGGACACTGGGGGGATTGGGGGGACACTGGGGACATCGGGGGGATTGGGGACACCCAGGGGGATTGGGGACATCCCCCTAAAACCCTCACGGGGACCCCCCCCCCGAGCTGGACCTGGCCGGGGTCACGTCGGACCTGCGGCCGCTGCTGCTGTGGCTGGCCAACGCCGTGGAGCTGCTCAACCTGGCCCAGGGCCACCTGCAGCGCCTGGAGGCCGAGCTCGACCTCGAAGGTGACACTGGGAGGCACTGGGAGGGACTGGGAGGGACTGGGATGGAGTGGGATAGAGTGGGCTGGACTGCGGTGCACAGGGAAGGGCTCCTGGGGCTGCTCTGGGATGGACTGGGACGGACTGGGAGCCACTAGGAGCCACTGGGATGGGACTGGGACTGACTGGGATGGACTGGGACTCACTGGGATGGGATTGGGATGGACTGGGATGGACTGGGAGGGACTGGGATGGAGTGGGATAGAGCGGGATGGACTGCAGTGCACAGGGAAGGGCTCCTGGGCTGCTCTGGGACGGAGTGGGACGGACTGGAATGGACTGGGACTGACTGGGATGGACTGGGAGGGGATTGGGATGGACTGGGACCCACTGGGATGGACTGGGACTGACTGGGACGGGCTGGGAGAGCTCCTGGATCCATTCTGGGGTCAGAATGGGCAGTTTTTGGGCCGTACTGGGATTTCTGGGGGGGATTCTGGATGGAATTTGATCTGGATGGAATGGGGATGACCCCATTTTGGGGTGAATTCCTGGGTTTTTGGGGGGTTTATCCCATTTTTGGGGTCAATCCCTGGGGTTTATCCCATTTTGGGATGAATCCCTGGGTTTTTTGGGGTCTGACCCCCCATTTTGGGGTGAATTCCAGGTTTTTGGGGTTTATCCCGTATTTTGGGGTGAATTCCGGGTTTTTTGGGGGGGTTTATCGAATTTTTTGGGGCGAATCCCGGGTTCCAGGGCCTGACCCCCATTTTGGGGTGAATCCCTGGGGTTTATCCCATTTCTGGAGGTGAATTCCGGGGTTTTTGGGGGCTTTATCCCATTTTTTGGGGTGAATTCCTGGGTTTTGGGGGGGTTTATCCCATTTTTTGGGGTGAAACACATGTTTTTTGGGGTCTGACCCCTTTTTTTGGGGTGAATCCCGGGGTTTTTTGGGGTCTCACCCCATTTTTACGGGGTGAACCCCTGGGGTTTCAGGGGCTGCCCCCGTTTTGGGGTGAATCCCGGGGTTTTTTGGGGTCTCACCCCATTTTTACGGGGTGAACCCCTGGGGTTTCAGGGGCTGCCCCCGTTTTGGGGTGAATCCCGGGGTTTTTTGGGGTCTCACCCCATTTTTTCGGGGTGAACCCCTGGGGTCTCGGGGCCTGACCCCGTTTTGGGGTGAATCCCGGGGTTTTTTTGGGGGTTTACCCCATTTTTTGGGGTGAATTCCGGGGTTTCAGGGCCGTGCCCCGAGCTGGAGCAGGACCTGGAGAGCTGCGACGAGGCCCTGGGGGTGCTGGACGAGGTGATCATGTCCACGTTCCAGCAGAGCGTCTACTACCTGACCAAGGTGGGCCAAATCCCCCCAAAATCCCACCAAATCCCCAAAATCCCACCAAAATCCACCCAAAGTCCCCCAAAATCTCACCAAAATCCCCCAAAATCCCACCAAATCCCCCAAAATCCCACCAAAATCCTCCAAAATCCTCCAAAATCCCACCAAAATCCACCCAAAATCCACCCAAAATCCCCCCAAATCCACCCAAAGTCCCACCAAATCCCACCAAAATCCCCCAAAATCCACCCAAAATCCCCCAAAATCCATCCAAAATCCCACCAAATCCCCAAAATCCCACTGCCTGCAGCAGGTGAGCTCACCTGAGAGACACCTGGGGGGCTGGGATACACCTGGGTACACCTGAGATACACCTGGGGGGCTGGGACACACCTGGGTACACCTGGGATACACCTGGGATACACCTGAGATACACCTGAGCTCAGCTGGGGGCCACGGCCAACCTGCTGAGCACGCCCCGCGCCTGCCTGCAGCAGGTGAGACACCTGGGATACACCTGGGATACACCTGGGATACACCTGGGATACACCTGGGATACACCTGGGATACACCTGGGATACACCTGAGAGGGGCTGGGACACACCTGGGGGGCTGGGACACACCTGGGTACACCTGGGCACTCACCTGGGCTCAGCTCGGGGCCACGGCCAACCTGCTGAGCACGCCCCGCGCCTGCCTGCAGCAGGTGAGACACCTGGGATACACCTGGGATACACCTGAGAGGGGCTGGGACACACCTGGGGGGCTGGGACACACCTGGGTACACCTGGGATACACCTGGATACACCTGAGATACACCTGAGATACACCTGGGGTCAGCTCGGGGCCACGGCCAACCTGCTGAGCACGCCCCGCGCCTGCCTGCAGCAGGTGAGACACCTGAGATACACCTGGGCACACCTGGATACACATGAGATACAGCTGGGATACACCTGAGATACAGCTGGGCACACCTGCACGCAGCTGGGTCACACCTGTCTCACCTGTCCCTGTCACACCTGTCTCACCTGTCCCTGTCTCACCTGTCACACCTGTCTCTCACCTGTCTCACCTGTCCCTCACCTGTCACACCTGTCTCACCTGTCCAGGCCACCTGGTCCCATCTCCGAGCCGAGTTCCCGGCGCTGTCCCTGTCCGTGTCACACTGTCACTGTCACACTGTCAACCTCACACCTGTCTCACCTGTCCCACACCTGTCCCTGTCTCACCTGTCCAGGCCACCTGGTCCCGGCTCCGAGCCGAGTTCCTGGCGCTGTCCCTGTCCCTGTCACACTGTCACACCTGTCTCACCTGTGACACACCTGTCCCACACCTGTGACACACCTGTCTCTCACCTGTCCAGGCCACCTGGTCGCGGCTCCGAGCCGAGTTCCCGGCGCTGTCCCC